CTTTCTTATTATAGAATATCACCAATTTTTTCCGTTACACTTTCAAACAAATTGGCAAAACATAGGATTCTTCAATACATTGCACTATAACAAAGTATCAATTTATTAGAACGGTTCATATGTAACTTCAAACATATTACTTTTTGTCTAGGATTAAAATGAAATTGGTTTGAAATGCACTAAAACGAGCCATTGAAGAATTTCATCAAAATATCAATACTCTTAAAATCAGTGTAAATGTTTCTTTCATCTCATGGATCACCTTATAAAAAATTTACTGATCGAAACTTTGCCATAGTAAGTGTTGAAAAGAAAGTATGTATGATGATGATCACGATGAAAAAAAAAAAGGATGAAGGTGATAGATCCAACGGGAGGTAAAATGGATATATGGATAAACATATAGAAAGAAAAAAGAGATAAATTTAGGAGAGAGATGGAAAATAATACAAAATTTAAAAAACAAAAAGAAAGAAATAAAAAATTACTAAATATTAACAAACATACGTTGAAAATAGAAAAGAAAGGAATAAAAAATCAAATCTTACAAAAATAAAATTAAAGGACAAAAAATACATTGAAAATCTAATTCAAAATTTGTTACAACATAGGAAGAGGTAGTAGAAACAAATTATTTTTATTTTAAACGGATAACTGAACAAGAATGGTAAAAAACAAATATACAAAATTATTGGAAAAAATCAAATAGACATTTGTCATTGACAAATATTATTTGACAAATTTTCAAAATGAAGAGGTAAATAACGTGAACAAATTCAAATTCTCAAATTCCATTAAGTTTAATTAACAAATCTAGGTGTCCATTGCTAACATGAATATAGTTCAGCAATAATTGTCAATGCACCTCTCCTTAAGGTTGGAGGTTCAAATCCCCTTGATTTATGTTGTATTATAAAAAAAAAAAACTAAAAAAGTGCAACTTAAGCTACATAAAAAACGGTGGTCAGTAATGGATCCAACCAACCAATCTGATGGATTTATTAGGGTCCCCAAAAATATGTTTGAATAGTTGTTTTCTGATAAATTTCATATATTTTTTCAAATTTTAATATGGTTTTGGTTATAGTTTGGAGGCTTGTAATTAAAAGTATGTAACAATTAACTAAAAACCATGGCAGTTTTGGAAAGTAAGCTTGTTAGAAGAGCACTCGGGGAATTGGAAACACCCCGTTTTTATAATTGAAAAATGAGGCATTTTTTGGTGTTTTTTTTAAGTAATTTTTTAAAAATTTGTTACTCTATATTTTGGTATTTAATTGTATTCAAATTTTTTCTGAAACAAAAATCGTACTGATATTTACCATTTTATCCTCTCCCCTGGCTTTCCATCCGTTTCTTTAGGTAGCTGGCTTTCCGTGCAAACAGCTATTTAGTTAATTGTTATATACATTTAAAATTAATATATTTATCCAAACGAGCAAAACAACGGTAGTTGACTTATATCTCAAACCATGAGGTTGTGAGTTTGATCTCCACCTTCACATGTTGTACTTAAAAAAAATAATGTTTTTATATATATATATATATAATTTACAACTTCCTTGGTTTAATAAATTACTTTTTATTTTTTTAAAACCCAAGCCAAATTTTATATAGCCTACAAAAAATTAATTCCATCGGGTTTTAAAATCCTAAGTAGGTTTTTCTTAAACAATATAATATAAGCTGGTTGATGTTGAAATTCGATTTGCTCATGTATCCATCAAAGTGTGATACAAGTGGTGCCTCCGATGATGGTAACCTACGAGACCGAACTCAACTAGTACTCTGTTACATGTATTATGAAGGAAGTCGGTATCAATTCGAATTAAGAAGAGAAGAACTTAAGTGCTGGTGCAAGAAGTTGCATACCTTGAAAAATGTTCTTTCTCATTGTTTTATTGAGGAGTGGTTTTGGAATCGTGCCCTAGAAAATTAGGACCATACTACTAGAGTCTGATGTTATGCCGACTTTAAAGATGCTCCATCATTACATGATGTCATATCCATCGTATGTCAAATTCCTTCCAGCCTGGTGTGCTTTATTCACCTCACTTTCATGACGTGACGTGATGACCCAAATTTCCTTACATGGAGTTGTCTCCCAGAATCAGTGGGAAAATTGTCTCCGAGTGTTTATAATATTGTTTAATTACCAACAAACAACTTTCAATTAAAAAAAAAACAAACTAAAACTGAATTTAACGTCATATTATGTAATTATATATGACTAATAAATTAGAGATTTTAAAAAAAGGACACGCAATGTGTGTGTATAAAACTTAGTTGCATGATTTCGAGCTGGTTTGTATGGAGAGATAGTTGGGTTTAAATAATTTAACAATTTTGGCTCATGGTTAATGTTAATTATATTTCATTCAATAACATGTTTTAGTTTTGTTTTACTTTCCAACAACGTCTATAAAATAATATAATAATTATTTAAAATATATTTATCATTATATAAAAATACTCCAACTATTACTAATTTTAATTCCACGTTTGAAAATACATCAATAGGTAAAGTCTAACATTCATTGTGTTTTCCTCGCAAAATATTGAATAACGATAAAAAAAAAGATTCAAAATGTTTAATTATTAAAAATAAAAGAACATTTTATTGTGTTCAACTCGACTCAACAATTATAATATAAATCAATCAACAAAATTGAAACAAAGTAAAACGACATGTGTTAACATAATTTGAAAATTAAAATTTCTACGCTCATTTATTCTGGAGGATCAACTATACCACAATGCAATTGTTCACTAATAATCTAATTTACATCAATAATTTGTGAGGGAAAGATGCACGTGATTCGGAGGGGAATGAAGACAAGAGAGATGGTGCCAAAGGAGGACATTGCTTTCAGTGCTGTGTGGTCTTTCTCGAGATCCATGGCTTTTTTTTAATTTCAGGTCCCCGTCCCAATCGATCAATATATTGTTTTCTCACAAATAACAATAATGCAATGCAAAAAGTATCCCCCCATGTGACACTCACACGTGTTGTAGCTCCTTTTTCCTTCTCTTTTTTCTTGGCTACAAAATGTAAAATGTAAAATGTAAAATTATATTATTAAAATTAGGAAGATAAAGGGGAAAAAAACGCAATATATTAGAGTTTAAAATTTTACACAAATAACATAATTTAATCAAAATAAAAATAAAAAATTTTAGAAAGAAAAATAATAGAGCTCATGACATTTTCTTAAACAGATATGATATTTTTGCCATCCAATTAAAAGATTGACACGTGGAGGTTGAAAGTGGCGGTAGTACCATGGTACGTTACCGCGCGTGGTCTTCAAGTTTATGAATGACCTTTAATTTAATTTCTAAAATAAGAAAAATACCATTTACAAGTTGATGACCCCACATTGATTCCGAACATCTCCAGCCAATGACCCGGTCTCGTGATTAATCAAATACTGACAAAAGCTGTTGAAATTTCGAAACCCTTTTTTTTTAATGCTAATTCAATTACAATTTTTAGCTGCTGATTTTCCTTAAATTAAATAACAATGTTTAATTACGTCGTACTTCTGTTAAGCAAGAAAATTGAGTACTTCTATTTAATCCGTATTAATAGAATTCCATATATAATACGTCATATCTACCTAACTAAAATCATGTCATTTATCTATTAAATTAAATATATACAAACGTATGGAAAAAGAAAGTGGACTTCTAAAAAATTTGTAGATGGAAAATAAATAAATAAAAATTGGAGGATGGAACCATATTTAATTGCATGTTTTTATCATTAGATTATATGTAACTTGATGCTTTGGCTATTTGCCAGATCCAATCTCGAGTGCAATATATTAAACTAATGTTTAGTAATTGAAATAAAAACTTCAAGGGTATCTTTACTCAAAAAAAAAAAAAAAAGGTTCAAGGTATCAGAATCGTTTGTTTTCTAGTGAATTCTTATACTTCGATTTAACTTGCATTTTTTGATTGCCAAACGTTACTCCAGTTGACACTTTTAATTAGATGGGGAGTAAATCATTGTTATTCATATTTTTTTTATTCTTTTGTAATATGATTTTTCCTTTTTATATAGCGCAGTATCAAATATAACCTTTAAAAAGTATGAGATGTTTTATCCACTTAATTATATTTTATTAGATTTTATAATATAATTTCAAATGTTATTTAAAGTAAGTCAAATACGAGTATAAATACTTTTATGCTAAGAAGAAATTTGATTGTCGATACGAACATATTTTAGAAATTAATAATTTTGTTTATATGTTAGAAGTTGAGGTTTAATCCTTCATTTTACCTTTTAAATAAATAACAAATATTTAAATCTACATAATTTAATCTTAATAAGTTGAATTATATTTGACTCAAAAATTGATTTAATATTAATATTAATTATCATAATGTTAATAGTATGCTATTAATAATTCTGTTGGGAAACTATTTCTTTTTTAGTTTTAAAATTTCAAAATTTATAATGGTTTTCTCAAGGTACATTTTAACATTTACTAAAAATACAACTCTTTAGCCAATCTTAAAAAGACAAAACACAAATTTGATTAAAGAGTATATAACTCCAAAATAATATAAACTAATGTTTAAGTTTAATTCTAAAAAACATAAAATTAAAAATAAAATGATTATTTAACTAGTCCATACTACTCTACCTATTTTTTTTTAGTATACTATCGTGTCACGTTTATTAATAATAGAATAACGAGATTAATAAATAATAAAGACAAGTGAAGAATAATAAATTGAAATATTGTGAGAAAATCAACACCTAACATGTAACCTGTGAGATGGGCACAAATAATGTCATAAACTAGTTAGGTGTTTACTAAATATCTCCTATTTCACCACAGTTAAAAAATTTAAAAAGATGAATGTATAAAGAAATTCGAGGGAAAAATAAAATAAATAACGGTAAATCTTTCCCGGCCCATATCGGTAAGTAAAAATATTGTAAACCTAAAAATTATAAAAAGACTGCTGAGTGAGGCCGAGAGGCGAAAATCGCGATCCCAACGCCGCGAACTGTTCGATAGTATAAAAGGCCCTCCAAAGTCGGGGAATCCTTCGCAACAAAATTTCGACGTAACAGAGAGGGAGAAGCGCGAGCAGTTCTACCAGCATCTTGCCGCAGCCGTGGAATGCAGCAGAGAGGTAGAGCAAACAACCGAAGATCCAGGAGCTTTTCCAGATGCCGCCTCGCCGTTGAGGGTTCTTAGGCTTCGTTTATATCTCTATCTTCCTCCTCTTCCTCACTCTCGCATTCTTCTTTCTCGGTTCTAATCGGCGGCAATGGCTTCTCCTAACAATGCCGGTAAATCTCTCATTCTTCTGTACTGTAATTCACACTGTGTTTCCATTTCTGTTCAACTTTTCCTGACTGGATCTGTTGCTTTCGTCTTTAAAAGGAGAGGAGCGCGAGGTGCAGAAGAACTACTGGATGGAGCACTCTGCGGATTTGACTGTGGAGGCTATGATGCTTGACTCCCAAGCCTCTGATCTTGACAAAGAAGAGCGACCTGAAGTAATGCTTCTAACTTCACGTCCTTCATTAGTATTAGCGTCATTTTTTTTTTCTGTTTGATATGTTTGAATTTATCATATGGTTCGGTCACAGATGTTGTCGTTTTGTCTGGTTTAAGATCTGTCTTCTCGGTATAATTGATCGTATTGCAGAATGTTCCATCTTATTCTCAATTTTCAGTATTAGTAGTATAGTTCTGAACAGTTCCAGTTATGAAGCTGGATGATTCGGTTCATTCGTTAAATCTTAGGATTACGTTAGTTGGAGCCGGAGTCAATTCGTACTTTCTCCACTCTAATTCAGAGTCGAGGAAATTTGTAAGATGTAGCATCAGTGTTTAAGATATATGCAGAGTCCTTAAACTGGCCCTCCACAGGTTCTTTCTCTGCTTCCTGATTATGATGGCAAAACCGTATTGGAACTTGGAGCAGGAATCGGCCGTTTTACTGGCGAATTAGCGCTGAAGGCTGGCCATGTTATTGCTCTAGACTTCATAGAGAATGCAATAAAGAAGGTAAGGTTAAAAATGAATTTCATATCATGCCAAAACGGAACTGTTGTTTTATACTTGCACCTGCACGGTAGTATTTTGTATCTTATAACCTTAATATTATAATTGTAGAATGAAAGCATCAACAGCCACCACAAGAACGTCAAGTTCATTTGTGCCGATGTGACATCGCCAGAGCTACTCATTTCTGATGAGTCAATAGATTTGATATTCTCAAATTGGCTGCTCATGTATTTATCTGATAAAGAGGTACTATAATTTCTTTCCTACCGTTTGGTGCTTTAGGAGCCAATGGACGGTGCACACTACATGACATTGGAGTCTTCAATTTTACCAATTGCCTATGACTTACTACGTGTTGTTGATCGAATCGGAAAATCAGAATTTTTCTTGAACTATTGTACATGAATGGTTTTTGGTAGGTTGTTTGTTCAAGAATGCGATGCATTATTTTGAGTTGCTCTTTAATTGAGGACATAAAAATCCTCAACCAAACTTTGAACGGAAGACAAATGGTATTAGCCTATTGCCTAGACTGAGGAAGCTGTGGCTAATTCTTAATTCGAACTAAGAGCAGACTAAACAATATTTATATTATTTTTCATGCTATGGAAGATAGCCAATTTGGTTGTTAAATAGCACAAAGCATTTGGCTAGCACAGACTATTTCATATTTTATTTATTTATTATTATTATTATTTTTTGTATCAAGATAAAAAGATTTTTAAGGGTTTCTTTCTCTTCCTTTTTCTTTTTGCTGTTCTGTATGCACATGTCACGTGTTTTATGGATTTATGGATCTATTTTATTTATGCGCTGTTCTCTTTTGTTCTCATTTCAGCTTACAAATTTCTTCTATTAGACCTGGAGAAATTATACGTTAAATCCTGGAGTTCAATATTTTGCAATCTTCATTAGATTAAGCCTGCTTCATATTACTTTTCCTTTCAAGAAACCTATTTTTTTGATATATGAACCATAGGTGGAGAATTTGGCTGGAAGGATAATGAAATGGTTGAAGGTTGGTGGATATATATTCTTCAGAGAGTCATGTTTTCACCAGTCTGGAGACTCTAAGCGCAAATACAACCCAACGCATTATAGGGAACCCAGGTTTTATACAAAGGTTGTTTTCATCTTCTTTATTATTATTTTCATAAATTTTTACCCCTTTGAAACCTTCAGATGTTGTGGATTAACTGTATGACTATTATTTCCTATTGCTATTCAACTTCAACTTCAACGAATCATCATTATCATTAAAAGAAGAAAAAAAAAAGGAAAAACCAACAGGTTGTCATCTGATAGTGCTTTGCTGAAATTGTGATGGAAAAGAATAAATGAATAATGTATAATGGAGAATTTATATATGCATTAGCCCTAAATATATAGTTTATAAAGATAATGTTTTTCCAGGTTCACAATCCTGATGTAGTTTTTAGGAATAATTCATAAAAGACTGCATCAGTGAACCTTTTCTGATAAAATGGCTATTACTATATACATGATTCGGTAGTACTTGTGGAACTAGCAGAGGTAATTTTAGAACAAAGCATCTGTAGGAGTCGTCTATTGAAGTGCACGACGTTATGTCCTTCCCATTACTTTTGCTTCTCCTCAAGATTGTAAAAGACAAGTATGTCTGATGGTGCCAGGTTGATGTCATACTAGTTTGATGTATATTTGGTCTTGCATGTGAAGATTGTCCATTTATACTTAGCATATGAGTTCTTAGAATGTAGATCACGACATTCCCAGCTTGAAAACCTCTTTTACATCATTTGCAGATTTTTAAAGAATGCCAAATGCGCGATGAGTGTGGAAACTCCTATGAACTCTCTCTTATAAGCTCCAAATGTATTGGTGCTTATGTACGAGCTAAGAAGAACCAAAACCAGGTACTTTCTGGTGGAAGTTGATCTCACTATTCCTTTTTATGTTTCTTACTGTTTATTACTAACAAAAACCAGGTACTTTCTGGTGGAAGTTGATCTCTCTGTTCCTTTTTATGTTTCTTACTGTTTATTACTAACAAAATGCACACTTCGATTTTACTTAGATTTGCTGGGTATGGCAGAAAGTCCACTCACAGGAAGACAAGGGATTCCAGAGATTTTTAGATAATGTCCAATATAAATGTAATGGCATACTGCGTTACGAGCGTGTATTTGGTCAAGGTTTTGTCAGTACAGGAGGAATAGGTAAGCCTTATTGTTAAATTCTCTTCTTGTTCTGCTGTCATTATGTCTCTAATCTTTTCAATGCCAACGCATTTAGATGATTTAATATACTTCTTTTTGGGAAATAGTTTGACCACTAACTGCAGGATCGGTTCGTGATGTAAGTACTGAGAATCTTAGTTATTCAAGGTTTATCTCATTATGAGCTGACAACTTCTACTCGTGTAATTTTTCCTGAGTGAAAATCTATTATAGTTTGATAAGTGAAATTAGTTTTTTTTTTGGTGTGAAAAAAATCTGCAGTAGCTTATTATAAAGAGAAGTTAGACTTGTGATTGTACGTAGGATCTCCCACTGTTTATGAGTAGTATCTTGTGTGCTTTCCACATGAACTAACGAATAGGTGTCCTTCTATAAATATAATCTTTCCATTTTAAAAATTTTAGCAAGTTAGACAAAAATACTTTTAAAATTTAAAATTTTTATTATTATATATATATATACACATATATATATATTTGAATTCAAGACGAAGTGGGGTCCATCCAGGGCAGTCAGAAGGACTTAGCCTTGTGCACAAACCACAATTGTTCTCACCGATGTGGACTCCTGTCAAATGTTATTGTTAATTTTCTTTTCTGATGAAGCAGTGAAGGGCGTGACGACTAGATTAAAAATATGAAGTGAGAAGGTTGGTGGAGGTCCTCAGCTTGCTAATTAAATAGTATCCTTTCAATTCAGTTAGGGGTGTTTGGCTCATAGATCGTATTTGTATAACATGGGATTGGATGTCTGGGATTACGTTGAGTTTGTGGTTACACTTATCTTACAGACTACATAAACTCTACATTAGTCTTCACAAATCGTTAACCTACGAGCCAAAAAGGGACACAGTAAACTTTAGGCTTCCAAAGTTTATTCGCTTCACAAACAAACTTCCTCATCGTATGCTAGGCAAATCTAAGCTTTCGTAGACCTGTGAACCAAACGGTTGTTTATTGATTAGTATGTTTAATTTTAATCGTTATTTAAAAAAGTTTACCTTTCCGTAAATGTAGAGACCACCAAAGAATTCGTTGCAAAGCTAGAACTGAAGCCTGGTCAAAAAGTTCTAGACGTTGGTTGTGGCATTGGGGGTGGTGACTTTTATATGGCAGAGAACTTTGATGTCGAGGTTGTTGGCATTGATCTCTCCATCAACATGATTTCTTTTGCTCTCGAGGCGGCCATTGGACGCAAATGCCCTGTTGAATTCGAGGTTGCTGATTGTACCAAGAAAACATATCCAGAAAATACCTTTGATGTGATATACAGCCGGGACACAATATTACACATTCAAGTAAGAAATATCTCCATGTTCTTTGGGGATCTCATTTTTTACTAATTATCAGTATTTATTTATCTTTTCTTTAGTTCTCATTCATCAAAATGTAGTTGAGCTTGTTGTCAATTTCCAAACTCAACAATTGTTATTAACAAACTAATTTCATATTCGTTTAAGCATATATTGGAAATTACCAGACTGGGTTTATTATACATGATTGACAATCTGATCAAGCTACAAATCTATACCGTATAATGATGTTTCAATATGGTAATCTTGCGAGATATGGCAGTCATAATTGGTCTCAAGACCTTTTGTTTTACTTTTTCTTTCTTCGTAGTATCTGCATATCTGAATTTTCTGAACTATTGATCTATTGCAGGATAAACCTGCGCTGTTTAAAACCTTTTACAAGTGGTTGAAGCCAGGAGGTAAGGTTCTTATCAGTGATTATTGCAGAAGTGACAGTACTCCGACAGAAGAGTTTGCTGAGTATATCAAGCAGAGAGGATATGATCTTCATGATGTAAAGGCATATGGTCAGGCAAGTTTAACTATCTCATTCAGCTCTCTCTTGGTTAGTGGCTCTTGTTTTTTTTATCATGCAAGCTCATTATAGATTTTATATTTTCAACAGATGCTGCGAGATGCTGGCTTTGACGAGGTCATTGCAGAGGATCGCACTGATCAGGTATTAATGTTTTCTTTGTAGACTCATAGTAGCGCACTATGTTGCACTTTCATATCTAAAGATCTTACATGTTTGCATCCTTCAGTTCATCAGAGTTTTGCAACGTGAATTGAGTACTATAGAAAAAGAGAAGGAAGAGTTCATTCAGGACTTTTCTGCGGTAAGTTTTTTCTCCCTTTTTGGTACTTTTAATGGTAGTATTTGCTTCTAGTTCGGTGTTTTTTCCTCACTCGTCTGTGATTGAACTCAATTCAGGAGGACTACAACGAAATAGTAGATGGTTGGAAAGCAAAACTAGTCCGGAGCTCCAGTGGTGAGCAAAGATGGGGACTCTTCATTGCCAAGAAAAAGTGATTATAATTTATGCTATATTTCAGTTTGTTGTTCCTTATTTGAAGTCATTATTTGCTCTCTCTCAAGTCTTAAGTACCTCGTTCATTTGACAGAACAATCTCCTTTTATAATAATAAAACCGTTTAGTTTTGAAAATGTTCCTTGTTCGTGCCACGAAGTTCCCTCCTTTTTCATCTCTTTTCTCTCTCTCTTGATGTATGCTACAGAATATTATCATTTCGCATATTGGCGTGCAAGAGGTTTTCTGAATTCGATGATGTAGCTTAAAACTAAGTCCGATTATCCTTTGTTTTTCACTAGGCAAAATTAGTGGGTGGTTTATAAATCAGATTGAAGAAAAGAATTGACATTTGGCTATAGTCGTGTAGATTAGAAATTTGACTTCAGCTATTGAATGTTGATCAACTGGACCACGAACATTTATCATTGTGAATTATGCTGCATTTAGATGGTATGTTGAGGAAAAGATTCTCTGCCTCTTGTCTTCCTGTGCATTTCCTCATTCACATTTGAAATTTTATTAAAAAATTTCCATTCTCACTTTTACATTCACATCGACGAGTTATTAACTCCGTTGAAATTGAAACTTGCTGATTTCCAAAATCATCGTTTAGGTGTCCTGTTGTGGCTCATACTCGAATTCTTCAATTTCGTGGATAAGTAATTCTTGGAGGAGATTGGAGAAAGGTAAAACTTTTACCTCACCGATATGTTTCAAAATCATCAACTTTCACATTTCATAGAACAGAAACAACTTAGAAACATACAACACATTCTTTCACATTAGGAAATGAGAATCTATTTCCCCTCACTGATCAAACTTCAGAACTGAAAATTGTATTGATAAAACACTGCTTGTACGATATGAACAGCAAACTGCTCGAACAAACGGTTAAATCTCAGCGCCCTCATCATCATCTTCATAGTCAAGGTCTTCATCAACTGTGGCATCTTGATACTGTTGATACTCGGCAACAAGATCGTTCATGTTGCTTTCTGCTTCAGTAAACTCCATCTCATCCATTCCTTCTCCAGTATACCAGTGCAAGAAGGCCTTCCTACGAAACATTGCTGTGAACTGCTCACTCACTCTTCTAAACATCTCCTGTATTGAAGTTGAATTTCCAACGAAAGTAGAAGCCAGAGGGAACCCTTTAGGTGGAATGTCACAAACGCTAGACTTCACATTATTTGGAATCCATTCCACGAAGTAGGAAGAGTTTTTGTTCTGCACATTCATCATCTGCTCGTCGACTTCTTTGGTACTCATTTTGCCTCGAAACATGGCAGATGCCGTAAGATATCGGCCATGGCGTGGATCAGCTGCACACATCATGTTCTTGGCATCCCACATTTGCTGCGTCAATTCAGGAACTGTCAGAGATCTGTACTGCTGCGATCCACGGGACGTCAGAGGTGCAAAGCCAACCATGAAGAAATGAAGTCGAGGGAAAGGGATTAAGTTCACAGCCAGTTTTCGGAGGTCCGAGTTCAGCTGGCCAGGGAACCTCAAGCAACAGGTAACTCCACTCATTGTTGCTGAAATTAGATGATTCAAGTCCCCAACTGAAAGAGTAGAATGAAGATCAGCATTAAAACTTAAACTTACAATCAAGTGGGACAAGATAAAAGTTGAAAATTTGAAGGTGTACTCACAACTTGGGGTGGTGAGCTTGAGAGTCCTAAAACATATGTCATAGAGTGCTTCATTGTCAAGTACCATACATTCATCAGCATTCTCTACTAGTTGATGTACTGAAAGAGTAGCATTATATGGCTCCACAACAGTGTCTGACACCTTTGGAGATGGAAACACTGAGAAAGTGAGCATCATTCTATCTGGATATTCCTCCCTAATCTTGGAGATCAGAAGAGTACCCATTCCAGATCCTGTTCCACCTCCAAGTGAATGACACACTTGAAACCCTGAAAAGTTGGACAAAATAGATGAAAATTAAGTAAAATAGGGAGTTGATTAGGAGAATCAACCCATTCACACCTCAATTTTGAAGGATCGGGAGAATATTTGCGAGATACGATTCGAGAACCGTTAGAATTCTAACATTGTGTCAGTATCTAAGAATAAAGTATACTCTAAATCGAATGGTACGGCGAAAGAATCAAGAATTCTATGTCAGCAGAGTAATTAATGGTATCGACAAATTAAAAGCCGGCTATTATAGCAACTTTTGGCTCGTACTCAAGTAAGGCCACTTCAACTGCCGGCTAGTCAATTCAAGAACACACTTCTATTATGTCATTCTGTTTTGAATAATAATCGTTTTATCTTTTCTACAATTCTTCCCTCACTTGTTTCGATTTGAATCCAATAAGCCCTCTTTTAGTTTTGTTTTGAAACAGACCTTTCTTAAACCCAAAGGAACAATGGAGAGTTGATTACCCTGAAGAGAATCACAATTCTCAGCCTCCTTCCTGACAACATCAAGCACTGAATCAATAAGCTCTGCACCTTCTGTGTAGTGGCCTTTAGCCCAGTTGTTGCCGGCGCCGGATTGGCCGAACACGAAGTTGTCTGGCCGAAAAATCTGGCCGTACGGCCCTGTCCTGACGGAGTCCATTGTTCCTGGTTCAAGGTCCATCAGCACCGCCCTCGGCACGTACCTTCCCCCACTCGCTTCATTGTAATACACGCTCGCTCTCTCTAGCTGCAGCTCCGAATTTCCGGCATACCTATCACACGCCGAGACTCAGAATTCTTTTACACACATGAAATGGACCAAATCAAAACAAATACCTCAAAATCTTAATTTTGTTGTGTATCTTTTTCAAACTAATTAGATTAATTAGGGATGCCGAACATCCTTGTTACAATTGAATATTCAGATGGTACAAAAATTCAAAGGACATAGATTACTGTCATGGTAATTTTGAGATGGAATTCTAAGAATTTGAAAAGTACCTGCCGGTCGGGTCGATGCCATGCTCGTCGCAAACCACCTCCCAGAACTTCGCGCCGATTTGGTTCCCACATTGCCCTCCCTGAATGTGCAGAATCTCACGCATTTTCGGTTGGTGGGTGAGGGCAAAACCGGGAGACCAAGATGATTTTCCAACGGCCACGGACAGTACTGAGGACGAGAAAAGACGTTGTGTAAGAGTTCGTTATTTATAGTAACGCCTTGGAGTGATCCGACGGTGGTGGTTGATGAATGGATGGAGGGTGGAGATTGGAGGAGGGGTAATGATCGGACGGACCAGACGCGTCCGTCCGATGGGAGAGGAGTTTGGCGTTTTATTGGGTGAGAATGGAAGCCATTTGTTGCTCTTCCATGCTCCTCGCCGGCTGAAAAGGGCTACCATTATCTCTAAAATTCACTTGACCATGTAATTACTAAAATGCCCCTTGACATAGATTTCCATTACTAGTTTAGGTTAGTTCCTAACATTTAATTTGTTCTTTACATAAATGGTTAAAACTTAAAACAACCAACTTTCTAAATTTTTCATAAGGATAAAATATGGTTCACTTTGAAAGTAATCTTAGTTTTACCGAAAATACTTCATTATAAAAGTGGGCTCCTTGTCCAATTGATGTGAAATTTTGCTTGCACTCCAATCAATATAAGATTATGCAATCTTGTATAAGTTGAAATCTCTCACGTCTTTATGTCATTTCAAAGAATTAAAAGTTAAAACCATAAGAAAAGGGGGAAATTTTTTTGAGATAACTTTGTTCCGTTCTTTGTCTCAACTCTTAACCTTGCCTTCGGTAAAAAAGTTGTCATTTCATAGAATTTTTCAGTATTAAAACACCAATATAATTACAGAAAAAAGCTGCTTAAAAGTTCAATTAGTTTTTCTAGGGTTATTATTAATAACTATTTGTTTATTTTCTTTTTTCATTTTTGAAGGGTTCGGTGAAAGAAACAAATTATGATCCATTAATTTTGGAGAATGGAAAATGGATAAAGCTGTGCTTCAAAATAATTATATATAACTACTAGATTCTATTCGGTGCTCTTATATTAGCAAGCTGAAGTGATTTAATCTAAAACTAAATATTTATTGTTTCTGTTTCTATATTTTTAATAAAGAAAAATTAATTGTATGGTTCCAACATCCATGAATTTAAATACGGTAAAATAATACTTTTATTTAGGTTTTGAAACAAATTGAAAATGAGAACAAGAAAGAAAAAAGATTTTGGTTGTTTCTAAAATTTTTATATAATTTTAAGAATGATCCAAAAGAGAAGAAAAAAAAAACATAGTTAGTTGCAAGATGTTTAGATTTCTTCAGAAAATCGAAAACAAGAAACAAGAAACGAGAGTGTTTCTAAACGTACCTAACTTTTTTCTAAATCAATATAATACAAAACAATATACTTTTAAATTCAAATTATACATTTATATATCGTGTCAATTACGTTAATGTTCTAGTTTCATTAATCAATAATCCTTTTCTTTTAAGTTCAACAATATTGTAAAAGCGGGGATATCAAATTATGGGTACCTTGTCCAGCACATATTGACAAATAAGCATGTTTCTTAATTTCAATCGAGTATGTTGAGAAATCTTATTGTTCTTTGGGAAATTTTAATGTGATTGTTAATTTAATTAAATTATTTTCCTAGTTTAGAGTTAAAATAATTTTTAATAGAAGGAAAATAATAGTGCGGACAATCATGTCATTAAATTGATAAACTAAAGGGCATATCCTATCTCCATTTATCTATTTTAATTTTCTCTTTAATTTGACACTCTCTTGGTCTTTGTATGATTTCTCATACATCATATTTATCTCCTACACAGAAATGTCTAAGTTTAGTTAGCTACTTAATTTTATTTTTATTTTTAAAAACCAAGACTTCAATATCTGTACTAAAAATAGATTTAAAGAAGATACAAGATATTATACTATATACCATAGTTGCATGAAAATATAAGAAAAAATCCTCTAATCTTATGCAAATTATTAAGGCACTTCTCAAATCCTTCTTCCATTTCCCAAAGTCTACAAATTTAGCTGGCTAGGTAATTATATATATATATATATATATATATATATTAATTATTCAGCTGGATTGTTAGAGTCTGGAAATTTTGTTAAATAAAAAAAAAAGGAAAAAAAGTAAAACATAGATATATTTTGGTCATTCTTGTTCTTGGTACCTGAAAATTATGTCCTTGTAAATCATGTAAGCAGAGGTAATCAGGTAAAAGAGAAACAGCTGCATGCATGAGAAAACATAGCATAAAAATGGTATATTTATCCCTCTGTGTGTCTCTGTGTGATAAAGATTTTAAGTTTTGATTAAAAAGATGAAGTAGTGGGTGTAGAGAGTACGTGGGTGCAGCAGCCTCTGATCAGATGGTGAAATAGAGAAAGAAAAGAAAGGGGCAGACTGGGCTATTGCCGAGGCACCCACATTCCCAAAACCCCAACACACAATAATTAATTAATTAATTATAATAAGCTAATAAAATGATAGTCAAATGTATATTAAAAAGCCTGTCTGATTCTCTCTCTTTTTGTCATGCACTGAATTGCATTAACGACACACAACTGATGAGTTTCGGAGACAAGACATCCTCATTCATTCATCCCTCTAATCACAAATCTAATTAATTACTCAACCCCTGATTTTATTGTATCATATGCTTCTTTATACTTACTACTGTTCGATTGGACCAATTAACTTTCTCACATAAATATCTACTTCTTTTTGGTTTCTGCTTCCAAAAAGGGTTTTGTGTGATTCTTACGAGGGATTTTTTTTTTCTTTTTTAAATTATGTTGAGGTTAGAATTCTGCCGATGCTCGTATCTTTATGTTTACGTTAGGAGAGAGAAGAAAGGGATGGTAGTGTAGTGTTTGATTGAAGATTGTCGTCCCAAATATGTATTATAGTCCTTGCATTAACCGATTTTTTCGATGTGCTTTAAAAGATATCTATATGGTCCTTGCATTAACCATTATCGATGTATATATATAGCGACGTGTTGTAAAAGATAAGGTTGTTTTTGCATAGGAGCATAATTCTCCTGAACACACACCTATATAAATATAAATGAGACAAATGGTAATTACATAATAAATATTTTTGGTACTTGGGTGGGTGGGGCGAATTCATCTTCCAATAAATATTTTTAATAATGGCCACATATATAATATATTAATGGTTGAATAAGTTTAAAAAGAGAAAAAAAGATAGAAACAACAAATTTTAGGGAAGTAATTATGAACATGACAAAATAAAAAAATCCAATCAATCTTAGATTAATCATCGATTAAATATTTAAATCGATATGTTCACTAAAACTTAGGAAATAATAATTTCTTCTTTACTACTTTTCATCCTTCTCTATATAGAAAATGTTGTATATATAGTAAAATAACTTGATAGTCTCTCCATATTACAAAAAGTTCACTCCAGACATGTAATTAGTATAAGCCAGAAATTTTGATTCATACATTTACTGGAATTAAAAATTTCGAAGTAAAATAAGTTAACCTTAAAGGATAATACAGAGAGAGAATTAATAAGTAAATGATTTGGTGAGAAGAATTATTAGCATAGGCCATAACCAAATTTAAAACATTGTCTCACCAATAATATATACAAAAACAACAACATAGATGAAGAAGCTGATACAGCTAGCTCATAATCATCATATAAACAAACAAAAACACTTGCTAAGAACAAAAAATTAAAGGGTTGGATAATTAATTAAGATTAAAAAAAAACATATATTGTTTCTCCCACTAATTCTTTACTTATGACTGAAGAAATATTTTGAAAAGAAATAAAAAAAAAAATTGGGAGACAAAAAGGGGTTCTGATTACGTATTTCCATCCAGAGAATTGGAATCTATTTTTTTCTTTTTTCACTTTATTTCCCTTCTCATTCTCACTTTTCTTTTCTTCTCATTTCACACAACATTACTTAACCCACCCAACACATTATTATTATTTCTCGTGAAAAACATTAAAAAAAGAAAAAAAAAAGCTGTTGGTTTGGCAGACAAGTTGACTTTCATGCCCTCAACTGTTTTAATTCTCTGATCCCACCCTTCAATTGTCATCTTCTTCCTCATTTAATCTACAAATATATT